ACCCGTAGTCCCTACGGTCGTCCTCGCTCTACTCCACTTCGACGGGATGAGTGGAGCGCTGGCCTCAAAGCAAGCTTGCAAACAACTCGGCGGTGCGACAGTGCGCTCGGCTAGCAGGTAGGTGAACCGCTTCGTCGTCGCAGACGCCTCAACAAGCCTGCTTCTTTGTTGACATAGGCCGACTTCCTCAGGTAGGTTCTCCCTCTCTCTCTCTCTCTCTCTCTCTCTCTCTCTCTCTCTCTCTCTCTCTCTCCCTGTGAGCCACAACAAACATTGTCCAAATGAATCTCCCGCCAAAACGTGGAAAGATTCATTACCACTTTGGAAATGTTCCCTGGGCGCAGCCTATTTTTCGACCAATCCTCTTCCCACCAACCCATTACCAAGACTAACGCTACCATCTAATTTGCCTTGCCCCTGAAACCCTATTTCGACCATCAGTTCACTCGATTCCATCACGAATCGAGTGATACCTCAATTTCTCCTTCCTGTCGCCCCCCCCTTTCGCCATAGCTCCACGCAGCGCTTCTTCTTACTAACTCTACTCACACTCCTCTCACCACCAAGATAACTCTACCAACCGATTCGCAGCGCCCGACAACCCCCGAAACGGATCTTTACTTACATAATTCTTGCTCCTGCCGCAATTACCTCCGCCATCTCTCTGCGCAACTTATCTCTTGCTAACCCACAATTCTACTAATCTATCATTAAGACTAACTATTCTATTGCACTCGCCCGGGGTCAAAACCCCAGGATCGACCTTTTCCCCTCTCAAACCCGTTCCCTATCAACCATACTCCGTGCCTTGCCCACTCCGCCCCTCGTCTCCATCTCTGAATGCACCCCGTCACATCCCCCGTCCACATTCATGCACCCTCTTGCTCATCGTTCCTCTGCCCTGCCCCCGACCTGCTTCTTCACGCCCGCGGCCTCTCCGACCAGCGCTGCTTTCTCTGCCTGCCTTGTCCGTCGCCATTTCAGCGCCCGCCACTCTCCGCTTTCTTCACTCTTGTTCATCCTGCGCCACCCTCCACTTCGCATGCACCCGATGTTAGGTCCCGTCCGGATTCTTTCGGCTCCCTCCTCTCTGCCCTGCGCCGGCTTACCCAAATTCTGTTGCCGTCACCCCGACCTCCCGACACCGTGCGGTCCGACAGTGCCCAGTCCTTCGAAAACGTTCAACTGTCGGACCCGCCTTGATTTATACCCATCATCCGAGCGCCCGGCCTCGCCAGTTTCCCTCGTGTCGCTCGACCTCTGGCAGAGGTCCGAGGGTCCCGACCAACGATGCCCTGCAGTGGCACCAAGGCCGCTCCGCTTACCACGGGGTGTGGGGTGAACACCACCCCTCTTGGCTTCACAAGCACCTGGCCCTGCCGGCGGCCGGGTGCACTCCCGGAATTTCTCATGCCACCCGTACCCAGAGGCCAGGCGAATCCTTCCTGTATCACTCCGATTTTGAACGGATGCCCTGATGGACGTGGCCGGGGCGATGCCCCGTGGCTCCCCAAAAGGCCACGCGACATCAGCCTTTCCTCCACTTCCTTCCACTTCTCCTCTTCATGCCTGTACCTGGCCTGGATCCGTACAGGGTCCGCCTTGGTCTTTGTTTCAGCAGTTCAGGGGTGTACCCACTGAGCTAGGCTCTTGTGTGCGAGCCACACCCACGGCACAGCGTCCTTGGCAAAACGGTGTCGAGCGCGGCTCCGACGTAGTTACGAAAACAGTTTGTAACTACACTTCAGGCGACCCCGCAAATATAACACACCCCCACACGCTCCTACCGGAGTCCCACGTCCCCGAACAGGACGCGATAAATAAAACAAAAAAAAAGGGGAAGTAACATAAAAATAAAATAAAATAAAATAAAAATATCGGGGAACGGCGGGGCTGCTGGCACCTCGTCAATCCCGCGGATCGTGCCTGCCGCCGCACCCGTAAACAAAACCGAGGGGGATAGCCCTAGCGGCCCTCAACCCCATCGGTCCCTTTCGCAACGCTCCGCTGCAGTTGCTGCGCTGACGCTTGCTGGCCTCGATCCCCGAACCTTCGTAGCGTCAACCCAATGTCGTAACCTATAGGGCTAAGCCCAAGCCTGAGACCAATATCCACGAAGTGTCATATAAGGCGGTGCGGCGCTGTGCTCACGACCAGGGAAATTGGCCCGAGCCTCATCTCCGCCTACAACCGTGCGCGCGGCCGTCCAGCGTCTGCGCCGACTTACTAAGCTGTGCCACGGCCGCCACTCGCGCCACTCTGCGTGCCGAGACCTACCGCAGTCACATTGTCGCCGTCGCCGTCGTCGCCGCCGTCCTCGCACGCGCGCTCGCCTCGGTCAATCGTACCAACCAAGGGAAAATATCCCTAAATCCTGCTTAATCATAAATAAACAAACATTAGTAATATCGTTACACAAAACGACCGGCGTCTGCGCCGACTTTATAATCAACAACAAAAAGAATCACGCGCGCCTTAAACCTGCACGCCCACGCACCCTTCACTCTAGTCGACCATCCAGTCAACGTAATCACAGACACAGCCGCGGCGCCTAGCGCGGCATACTTAAACTTTAAACCAAAACTATTCTCTGTCCCTTGCAAAAAACAGGGCGGATACCCTTGTAAGGGTATTCGCGCCGACAGCTTACCGGACCATATTAAGCGACGTCCCCGTCGCTTCGCCAAATCAGAAAGCTATAAATCCATCCACACTCCGAATGATGACGAGAAAGGAACCAATCCGATTGGCCGACAGACTTAGGTTCGAGGCCCCCAACAATCTGTGCCTACACAACTGTATGCTGCCAGGGTTTTAACGTGGGTCTTCGTTCGTCCTGACAGTAGGACGCCGGGGTATTACGCATTGATACTACAGCATAAGTTCCCGAAGGCCACCTCAAACCGTCCTCTCCCCTTTGTCCTAGACAAACGCCGACCTCTCGTCGAGTGTCCCGATTAGACTCTATCTCACAAGCAGAGTCATACTCAGGGACGCGGGCCTTAAATGCGACCTCCGAAGGCACTCTCGCCTCCCTCGCGAAAATCCTCACAATCAAACGTATATATATACATACATAAGTCTTCTCTCAGCTCTTTCTGCAGTCTAGTACAGAAATGCTAGATCTCCATCCTGACCCACCATAGCCTGGTTGATCGGGCCAGATCTACGGCCTACCGCATTGTTATCTTAGCGGCAGTTCCTTCGTTGGTTATACAACGATAGGTTTTCTCCTGATAAGCATTCAATCAGGACTACCCAATAGTCTCGACTCATATCCCCCGCCATCCCATCGGAGTAATCTCCCTGGGGCGTGCATAACCCCTTAAACTCTTACCCCGTTGGTAGACGTGGGCCCGCAGCCAGGTTGTGCTGGCTTGCAGTCATCCAATAGGGGTTGCGCCCTAGAGGTGCTAACCTTTACTGTTTAACTTGGTATTCCTCAATATGCCTTGGGATTAGCACAAGTGTCTAACGGTGCGTCGCAAAACAGACCGCAGGCCCACTTCGAGACTATGCAGGGGTTTGTCTTACTTTAAAGGCGTTTACCAGCTTCCCATGGGACAACATAGGAAGCCTGGCCCCTTTTCACAATCACAAACAAGTTCACCACCAGGCTCATACACAAGGCCGCAGCCCGCTGACTTGATCAGAGACAGCAGACCACACATCTCACGACTATGCACTAACTTGCGACCTTCTTAGTTCCACCAATGATCCAGTCCGTAATTATGGTTCCTCTCGTCAGACTTTATCAATTCAAACATTGCTTACCATGCCCTTAAATCTATTAACCACCTGTCATACGAAGGAGGTCTCTCTCCACAGGTCTCCCAACCACCCCTTTCTTCCTAGGATGAGCTATCACACGACCCTTTTTAAACCCCCCCCCTTTGTGGAGATGAGTCTTCCGATAAATAACATTACCACCTTCCTTAATCTGAGGGGGGTCTCAACCATAGAACAAACTCAACCATAGAACAACTCAAATTGGGAGGCCTACTTATGGGTCCTCTCCACAACACAACCATGAACCAACTCAACTGAGGGACCTACTTACGGGCCCTCTTCACAACTCAACCATAGAACATCCGGCATGGTAAGTATTCGAGTCTCAAAGACTTGCAAAATCCCTTAAGATTCTCACGCTTTCACAATGACAGACTGCACTCCCTCTCCTTATACTCGGCCCTGCCCTGCCTGTAGGCGGGCCGTGCGAGTATACCGAAGAGTAGACAGTTCACATTCATTTATTCTCATAAAGTTCACACAATCCAATACACATGAGATGTATCTCGCACATCTCTCACACAAAGCCATCATACATCAGGATAACCCACACATGTGAGAGTGATTGTGATCGTCATATACAAAGATAGTCTCAGATAAAGCCTCAACTCAATATATACACAGGGGTACAACACCCCAACTCAAACACGAGCCAAATGTTCTCGAGCTACATATATATATACTCGGAGTTGAACAATCTCAACTCAAATCGTCACTAGTATCACACAAGGACAAAGCGGCCTCCCTGATCAGAGCCACACTAAAACAGTTTTGACCAAGGCATAGTCATACCTCTCAATCCGAGGGACCCAAGTAATCCAGGATATATCCAAATATCCAAAGAAAAGTAAAGTTAGGAGTTGCCCATACACCAGTCCTGCAACCACCTCCCTAGGCTAAATGGCCTATCCCCCACATACTGAGGTTTCTTCCCAAGCCTCTTCTACCTCTCACCCTTATACATCTGTCTAGGCCTAGGCACGCCGTAGGTCCCATATCTCCTTCTCTTGATCAATAGGCCTAATGGAACAAACCCCCACTTCATAACAATGCCCTCAGGGTCACTTCTGGCTCCATCTACTTGAGACACCCCAATAACGTGATGCGCGGCGGATCTAACCTTCCCCACATATACAGTTGCTCTATTTGGGGCCCCTCCTGCTTACAACTCACGCCACCTTTACCGGACCTCTATTACGAAAATCCCCTCCCTCTGTACGCTGTGCCTCAGCTATATAATTGGGGATTCCTGCTTATATTTACAGTCTGCTCAAGTTTCCAGGCCCTTTTCACACAAACGCTTCCTCTTCCCGACAATATTCATGAGGCGGTGTTCGATGTCCCGTCTCGCCGCAAAGCCTCCTTCCGTGTTCCCCCTGGGATGGTTGGGTCGATGTACTCCCCCGTCCTGTCGAAAACACGTCCCTCGATGTCAGTCCTTATTAGACCACTTGCCTCATCGGCCCTCCGCTCCCGACAAAACTTCATTATGTGCCCTTCCTTGGCACAATGTCTGCAAACGTCCTTTCCCCAATCCGCTTTCCTCCCACCAGAGCCACCCTTGCCGCCACCACATTCCCCCTTCTCGTGCCCCTCGTCCCTACAACCCTTTTCAGCCTTTCGCTTTTGACCCCTTCCACCGGCCACTTGGCCTTGTGCCCCTTGTGGTATCGGCGGCCGCAATGGTCTCACACGCAAGGCTGGCTGAACCCGGACTGCATGAGGCCGGGGTGGCATCATATTCATTTGTGGGCCCAGCCAACTGCCTTGCACCCAGGGCACATATGGATCATACATAGGTCTTGGCTCTACTTGACCGCATGGCTCCCGCTGCCCATACGGCGCATGCTCAACCGACGGGGGCCTCTCATGTGCTACTCCACCTTCCACCTTTTGCGGTGTGGCCCCCATCCGTCCTGAGCACTGCCCCCTTTTGGCACCCTGACCTTCCTGGGCCCGATTCCTCGCCTTCCGCTGAGCCTTCGTCAACTTGGGAGATTCAGGCTTCCCTTTTTCACCCATCACCCCCTTTTCCTGGCCTCCTTGAGGGGCACGACCAATCTTTCCCCAACGATCACATACCACTTCTGCCCAATGTTCTAGCCACCACGTACTCCTTTGCCTCTCCCGACCTGCAGCCGAGGGTGCCTCTTTGTCAATGGGCCTTCCCTTCGGCTCCGGCGCAATAACGAGTAGGGCCATACTAGATTCTCGCTCCTCCTTGATCTCGACGACCCCCTCCTCTTCATCTCTTTCTAGGGTGCAAACCTGCCCCCTCGGGGTCTTCTTGTGGAGGAGTGACTCCTGATGGTCTTCCCTTACCTCCGCCTCACCCTGCTCAGCCGGTCCTTTAGGTGCTTCTTTAAAGGTCCTTCTCTCGCCATGCCTGACTTCTTCCAACCGTGCCAACCTCTCCTCCAGCATCCCAACTTGCCTCTGTATACCACTCAACTCTCCTTGCGTTGACGCGACCTCGGCAGGCTGCTCAGGGCCCTTACCAAGCCTGCATTCCACCTCATCTTCCGGGAACCTCCACTTCAGAGAAGCTTCCAGCTCACCTCAGGTTTGCGATTTCAACATGAGGGCGTACACCTCCTCACTTAGTCCTTCACAAACGAACAAGGGGAACATGTACCACATCGCCTTCTTGTCCCACATCTTCGTAAGGCTAAAAGCTTAAAGGTCACGCAGAAAGCTAGACAGGTTCCTTTCATGGAACAGCAGGGCACGGAGATATGGGGGCATTGACGCCTGCAACACTTCGTGCAACAACACCTTCAACAGACACGAATTCCTCCAAAGCAGGATCTTGGCGAAGCCGCTTTCTCCCGCCATGACGCTGACAACAGCCTGATACGCACAGCGGGCAATAGACCATCAAACAATGATTTAAGTAAGCTCAGGCAGACGAGGGCAAACTGCTAACACTTAAATCCCGCTATCTACCCCTTTACTCATGCAATCAGGCCTCAACCCCTAGTTACCCTGACGCTTACCTTCATAACTACGATAACGAGCAGAGAGACGACTCCGGTCAAGTCAAAAGAAACGCATTTAGTAGAAAAAGACGGCATCCCCTATCGACCCTCTACTGCCCGAATCTCCTCCCAGTCTACATTTCCCTCATTTGGATCGTGCGAACTTGCATAAGCGTCCACTACCGTGGCCAGGTTCCTAAGTTCCCGGCTATGGGGCAGGAACCTTCGATCCAGGTACAACCTATTTATCAATTCGCATGTGTGCCTTGCACATCCCCACTCCCGCACCTTCACGGCAGCCTCTGCGGCGGTTTCCACCCTCGCCTGTCCTCCAAAACATGCCTCTACCAAGAACTCTGGCAGGACAACCCGCAATGGGGCTAAGGGAAGTACAAACTCTTCCGCATGCTTGACCTCTACACGGGTCTCCACCTGCTCCTCTCCTTCCTGGATCCTGTCATTCGTCCATTTTGCTGTAGCTTCCTCGGCTACCCTCAAAGGTCTCGCCAACAGGCTCCCATGACCATGCGCCAATTCAATCCCGTGTAAGACCCAAAACGAAGAAGACGCATACAAAGTCATCCTTATGATCGCACAGTCCTGACCATCATCAAAGCCGGACTCGATCCAGGCAAAAATACCCTTGCCTATCGGTGCGCCCCACCAGGAAGATATATACTCTCCCTCCCTGGCTCGCCTCGGCAAAGAAATCTCAAGCCCACCAACTTCATAGTAGTAGCTACTCATAAGGAATGGTATATTACTAAAGTATCAGACGCCAATAATACCCTGCTAAGATTATCCTGATACTTATCACGCCTGCGCGCAGAAGAGTCTATTTGAAAAAACCGACTATACCGAAGAGAGCCCTTTACGCAAATACCCATCGGAAATAGAACACCAAATACCCATCGATAAAACCTTCGAGTCATAACTTAGACATCAATCAGATATCACTTTTACCACCCAGAAAAAATACAAAATACACATCATACAGGCAGGTACCCCAAACATGAATCCAAAATGCAGTAACTAGGATATACTCGTAATCATGATCACAACATAGTAGGCGCAACTTATTTACAGGGGTTGTAACTGAAGAGCGCGACATGCTTTATACATAACAACATGAAGCCAACCCAACTGTCAGGCATATAACAAGATAACTCTCAAAACGTATCTTAGTTTATACAAGACAGAATAAGACTGACAATGAATAATTAGCATGATACAATTGTTACCCCCCCTTCATGGCTTAAGCGAAGCATATAGTGCAGAGGGGCGGTGTAATCTTCTTGAGATAACATCTTGACTCCCGAGCCCCGCTCTAAAGATCAAGCCTCACCGCAACCCTCTCCGATTTCAGCGCTTGCACCTCACTGAGCCTAGTCATGGTCAGATGGTTAGCCCCATTCATACCTGTCACGACAACGGATAGCGAGTCCGTGCTCTTACAAATACGATGGCCCTGATTAATGCGAGACGAACCCAGATCGCTACTCCTGGACCACTCTCACTAAGCAGTAGTTGTTCCACTTGGCCATCACAACCTCAAGGAGGTAGCAAACTTCTTCCTCCTCTCTCAACAGATAATGTAGTTACTCTCCCATTACAGGAAAGACAACAACACCCCACTAATGGACCAGGAACATAGTTCCGGCATGGGTCTCATYATCAGTTTCGAGACTAATAACCGCTTCCCTAAGCCTCATCGAGGGGGTAACAACTCAAGAATGCACTTTCACTAAGAACAACTTATACCTGCCGACTAACTCCTTCCCGGAAGAACCACCTTCCATAGAAGTAAGTCACCCCCTTCACCCCTGGTCCCATGCCAAGCGTGGGTTTCATGCAGAATCTATGTCCCCGTGAAAGGCAATCCATACATACACCACCAATCAAACATCAAACAGAACACAAATGAAAACACATATACAGAGACAACCAAACAACCAAACATCAATGCCATATATGCACATATCACCTATAATTAACACATAGGCCTCTCTTCGGACTAGCCAAACTGATATCCTAGTGCCTACTACTTCTCGAAATTCATCGATAGTTGGCCAGACAGTGCGCAAGCAACTCAAATCATCACCAACTCACACTATCGAAGAGCCAAAGCGTCGTACTGACCGTAGTATCCATCATATCACATCTCAGTCTAAGCTCAAGGAAAGACTTTTACAACTGAACTCCTCACTTCGCACTTTATCAATCATCCCCTTACCCATGCTGCTCTCGTATCAGCAACTTTCTTTAAGGGTCACATGACCAGGGGAGGTGCTCCATCTTAACTTGACCACCCTGCCCCCCAAGGCAGGCTTACCACAACAATTACGTAATAAATCAGTTAGCCTTGGATTCCAATCATAGGCATACTTAGCAATGCCAGTACCACCTTACTCACTCCTAGCCGAATCGAGCCTACAAGGCATTGGCCAAACTCATCAATCATTAAAGTCAAGGAGTCTCTCAACTCCATTTAATCGCATACTAGGCATTACTCACAGCGCATAGTCACGACGCTTATTGATCTCAAGCAACCCTTACTGCATCATTCAAACCTCACTCACGGAATTAACCCTCGCTTTATGCTTTATCCAATACCATATTCAATTAACCGTCCCTCATAACCCAGTCAATAGAGCAGAAGCGGTTATTCTCCACGGATTATCAATCTGCCTCGAATCAAGGTTCGATTTCTAGGGACCCCTCAGTCTTTGCGGTACTTCCAACGATAGTCAAGATATCAGCCAATCGTTCATACGAGCCTATCAAAACTTCTCATTTGCCTATTTCTCACTTCCATACACGGGTGTTGTTCCACCAGGGACAACGGTAGGCAACCGTTATCCCCGGCAACGACGCCACCTGTCGAGCACATCGGTCCGGCACCGCACGTGGCAGCGCGGGACCCTCTTGGCCGCGTCACGCAGGAGTTGGACCAACCTTGCCGCGAACACACAAATGGAGCTTCCTTAGGCCGCTCCGGCCGAGTGCGCCAGCTATACCTCTCGCGAGCCCCTACGACAGGATAGGGCCTACGGGAGGCACAACTTACCTCCACCTTACGAGAGTTGTCACCTCCCTTCGGTTGGCGTATCCCCGCCGAGCTACCAGTCCACAGTACGAAAGCTAATCAGTTGCAATCGCAGAGGTGGACCAGCCGAGGGCGTTTCTCGTTCGCTGTAGCATAGGGGATACGCGCGGTAATACGCCTATCAGGCCCGCACGCGAACCGACATCCACGGGGGCTGAAGTCCCAAGCGCGGCTCGTCGTCGGTCGACTAGGACGCATCCCACACACCACGCGCACACCACTTTACGAACACAAAAACAAAACACACACACACATACACATACAAAACGACACAACACAAACAACGAGACAACACTCCTAGCCCCTCAGTAGTCATCCCATAACTTTACGATGTGAAATTCGAATAGGCATCGCGCGAGGGACTTAGTATAAAACCGTGCGGACGTAGGGCTATCTCATATCGACTCGCGATGCAAACGTGCGCAAGCAGTCGCAATGATGGTGTACTATGTAGTGCCCATAATCAAGCGGTCCCTCGTGGATCCAAGTACTGCTTATGACACTCAAGTGTCAGACCCGAAGTATCGTGAGGGTCTAACCCTTCACGACATTGCACGGCTGATGGAATGGCCGTGCAGCCGCCGCGAGACCCCCGGCCTTTGGTCTGAGCGTCTCGGTAGGCAAGGCAAATAGGCTCTGAACGGGGGCAGATCCCTTCCCTGCAGAGTTTAGGGCTCGGGATGTCCTGGACGAGGACCTTGAATCCCGACCTAGGACCAACGTCCGACTATAAAAATCTTCTAAAAAGCAAAGGTAAAAAGGGAATCCCCCTTTTCTCTCGGGACACAATCTGGTTAACCCTTATGCACAATCACAGTGACCTCTCAAACACTTAGGGCATTTATAAACATATAAGGGTTAATTTTACAGGACGATCGCTTCTCACAGTCACAGTGGGGCTCCTCTCAACCATATATGTATGTAATCGCAGGCAATCACATCCAGAGTCCGAACCACAAACGCACCTGCAATCACATCAAAGATTCAACCAGAAGTCCACGCACTACACAGGGTCAACTTCAACCATTCCTTGCACTCATACCCCTTGCCTTAGCCATACAAGCCTCACTCGTGCAACTCTTAAATAAATACTCAGTACTTTTGTTGGATGGCCATTCAATAAAGTCCGCGTAAAAATACAACAAAACATTTCAAATCTCAAGACTAAAACCTTTAGGTTGAGTGGCAGGAGTGAATTGGAGTTGAATCGTAGACCGGCGAATCGGCAACCGACCTGTTATCAGGGATAACAAAATGTGATCCTTGTAGGATCAAGTTGAAGCTAGTCCCAATCCTAAATAAAACGATCAAGAGGACCTGTAACACATGACAGGTCAATCCCTAAGATGAAATCATAAGTGTATGGAGAATACAACTCCATAACAAATTCTCACTCAAATGCTTCTAGTTAACTAGGTCTGAATCTACCTTTAAGCAGTGCCCAAGCAACGGCAGACCCTGACATAGTCTCCTCTATACAGGGTGGATTGCCAGTATCGCCACCGGTCAAAATATAATCTAACTCCTCTAATTCAAAAAAAATTCGGCAGCACTTCCCGTAGAAAAAGTGCATTTGCAGAACTTATATAAGCCCAAATATGAAAGAAGAAATAAACTTCAACTCTGGAAAGTCGAATTCTGTCTAACTCCTTGAATTAATAGAAATTTGGACAGCACTCCCTTTTAGAAAGAGAGACTTCCCAGATTTATACTAAGTCACATATGAACTCAAAAGACAACTCGAGTTCAATTTAGACAGGTTTTAACTAACTCCTTAGTTTTGCAGAATTTTCGGCAGCATTCCCTTTAGAAAAGGGTTATTCCAAAATTTATACAAGGCTAAGTTCAAAATTTAAAAATAACTTTGACTACTTAAAGTTCAATTTTGTCTAACTCACTGGATTAGCAAAAATTTGGGCAGTACTCCCTTTAGAAAATGAGACCGTCCAAATTTTTACTAAGCCAGATATAAAGAAAAGAAAAGTTGAACTTTGATAAGTCAACAATTGACTAACTCCTTGGATTTGTATAAATTTTGGCAGTGCTTCCCGTAAAGAAAGTAGCTTGCCAAGATTTATACAAAGCCAAGGAGTTAGTCATGATCCCAGAAAATGCAAGAATTGATCTAGGTAAAAAAAATCTTAGCTCAGAAAATGCAAGAATTGAAACTAACTCATATAGCTCTGGCACGTGGCGAGTGACTAAAGCAACTAACTATCAAACTGAAACTCACGCCAAGTAGTAGCCTCACTCAGTCACATGCAGGCCAAACCACAAAGGTAAGTACTCTCACCATCCCCAAGTCATCTTTAGCAAACAATAGTTCATAATCCGTCAACGATTTAGCCCTTTATACCCAACTTACATAAGGCATAGGTCAGGCCACCTGAACTTACAGAGCGCGCTCAAACTTAGCCAGACCTAAAGTCAGAATACCTAAACTTATAGAGCGTTCTGACTTAGCCAAGTATACACAAACAGAGCGCACAACTATTTTTCTCTTCCTTGGCCATATGACTAGACCACTCTAGTCGCCCTGAACTGTTTAATATCCCAGTTGTATATATCTCTCTGAACTTTAATCTTCAAGGTGGGCGTAGGACTGAGCCATTTATCTTAGAAACAA